TCGGGGAAGAAGTATGAGTGCGCGGAAAAGCGCCACGATTTATTCTGCTCCCACGAGTATACAACCAAACCATAGCCGAGTTCATCGGAGAAGTAAGCGAACGCATCATCACATGATTTACCAATATCAACGGCAACGTTGGCAATAAACGTGTTCGCATTAGTGTCATCCGCGCGCAGCACGTAGCGGCGTATGCGCGTGTTCGTTTGCAAGTCAAAGACATTCACAGCATACGGGCATGGATTGGTGGTGGTATTGCCAATGCCCACTGTGCCGGTATCAAGCACCCACAGCCGTCCACACTCATCCGCTTTGATGCGATACGCCGTGGTGATGCTGTTCGCACAATCACCAGCTGTGTTGCTGCGCCAATCGGGATACGGTATCAGCTCCGGCGAACCCGTCACACTATGATCCATATTGATATAGGTCAATGTAGCCGGTATGCCTGGAAAGAGTTAAAAAAAAAATGGGTATAAATATTATATACATAGTCTGCATTCTACGTAGATAAGTAATTAGATTAAATGTTCCGCCAGAGTATTAAATCTGGAACGGATCTGATAAATATTTCAATTAAATCTCTATAAATTGAAAAAAAACATATCTTCACTAGCGCTTAAATGTTTTCTAATTGGGGCGCGAATGTACGATAGGGTCTCAAGAGGTCCTGCAAGTTCTAATCCGACTCAAAATGCTTAAACAGGAATGGGGAATTCTTACATGTCGAAATTATGCTTGAAAGTTCAACATAGAGTGCTAGTAAAAACGTTTCCTATAAATGTATAATCTTGTTCTTCTAGTCTTGGTTGCGATGTTAAGGGGTTATACCCACATGTGAATTTCAACAAATCGTTTCCTTTGCGATTTTAAAAAGATCGACTTAAAATATTCAAGCGACCTTTCGCTTTTTTAAGCCACTCTGAAGTGTAAATTTTTACACAAAAAACGAGTTTTTTTTGGAAAGCCGAAATTTTATCAAAAATCAAAATTTTTATTAGTCCTTCGATCAATAAATAATTGTACTCATTACTTATAATAACACAATTTTTGGTTTTGGTTTTGGAGATAATTTTAAATAGAAAACTTTACTTCCTCGCCTGAAAACTGTTTTCGGAGGTCTTTAAAAAAACGAGTGTTTTCTGACTTCCAAATGGATATATGGTAATTCCTCCTTTTCCTAATTTAATATCATGTTGTTGAGAGGTTGGATTGAGCATAAATTTGTTTTTCACAATATTAATAGCCATTCCTTACCATGTATCCACTGTTTCCACAAATCGGTTAAAAATTTCGGGTTTCATATGAATAACACTTTCAAACTGAATTTTTAACTCCAACCTGTTATTCAAGTTATTTCACAATTTCTTAAAATTTTAAGTTTGCAAGTCAGTTACTTCTACGAGCAGACTCTTTAGACCGAATGTTCATATAACTCAATACTTTATAATGTAATGTAAACTAAGTAAATTAGTTATTGGCTATTTTAGCCAAAAAAGTGTTTGCATAACTATTTCATTCAACTAACTTTAATCGTTCTGTAATTCTCAACAGGTTTATAAAATATCTTAATATTCACTAAAGCTTGCAAGTTGAATGAATGTTTTTATAGCAAGCGCTTAAGCTTTGATAGTTTATAATGAATATAATTTAATTAGAGTACGTACTAGAACTAGTTATGTCAGTGAAACCATTGGAACCAGTATATAGTCTTATCACATACATCAGTATCTCTAAAAGAGGACGTAGTACTAGCTTCCGCATTCAGCTACCGTTTTTATTTAAACACTGTGTGAGAAACTGACAAAAATTACTTTAAATTGCTACTCGAAATTAAAATATTTGAAAACCCCAATTTGTCAAGACGAAATTAAATTTGTACAACAACAAAAAATTGTAAAAAACTAAAACCTTGTCTTGTAGTCGCCGCAATTTTATCTCAATTATTTAAATACATACGTCAACTGATTTTAATTTGATCAGGCGTTAATTATTGCATTTGTCAACCGGCGTCATGTGTAAGTGTGTACATGATTTTATCGACACACCTCAATCTGCAGCGTTGTGAATAAATATTTTAAATTCAATTCAATAATTTAATGATTTTTTTGCACAAGTAATTTTTTTTTCAAAAATGCGCGTTGACAAGTTGTCAAATGGCGTTTGTTTGGAAATAAACTGGTCGTTTAACAGATGTATTTTTTGTAACTACTAGTTTCTTTTTTAAATAAATTACACAAACGTGTGCTCATG